AGCCACTAAGAGCCACGATTGTCCATGTGGTCAAAAAGTACATCACTGCAATTTCGCTATAAAGCACCGCACTGACTGAATGCAAAATTGCCTATGCAGATAATGTGTATTAATGAAAAGAACATGAACACATAACAATACTTTACCTGCAAGCTGTAATTAGCCTTTGCCCTAATTAGGTGTGTGATGAGGTCAGCAGTGTGCTGGAAGTGGATTTTCTCTGTAAAATCAGATTAGGATCATTAAGTGCCAGAATAATGATAAAAACTGAATAATAATAATAATAATAATAATAATAATAATAATAATTTTAAACATGCAAAATGTGCTGCTAACAGATTGTGTTCGCAGAGGCCTTACCATCAGCAGTTGCATGAATGATCAAAAACTTCTGATCTTTCATGGACATCGCTTTATGTGCCAGTTTAGTAGTCTGAGATTAAAACAGAGGTGAGTTTCAGCATTTTATGTCCTTGCACTAATAGTTCTTTGAGAACTTTACTGAGCATGAAAATTAACCAGTGGCCTTAACAACAACGAGGCACCACCTGCTGGGCTTTGGAACTGCCTTCCTATTGACATGCGACAGGCATCTTCGCTCAGCTGTTTTAGACGCCTGTTGAAAACTGTTACTGTTTCTGCAAGCCCACCCAGACCTAGAATTTGGATTCATAAAGGCCCTCAGGAGAGGCAGCGCCACTCTCCAATCAAATTAACCTGGCACTATTTTAGTTTAGGTTCAGGTACTGCTCACCATTTTTGAGATCTTGTATTATCCAACACTTAAATTTTTGGAAGCCATCCAGCGATTTATTTATTTTGCTGCATTGGAAGGCAGGATTTAAACCCCCTAAACAGATGAGCACACGTATGATAATGCATGAAACACACACACAGCCTCTGCCACCAGCGGATTCTCCTGCGATCCAAATTATGTGCCCGCAAGCAGCACCGAGAGGACAGGGCTAAAAATCAAAGCTCTGTGTTGCATTTGTGCTAAAAATAGAGGCTCCTTCTGCCAGCTCCGTTATCCAAGTCATTACCTCATATGCTTTATTGTCAATCCCTTGTAATCCCAAGTATCTTTCTGAAAAGGCCGAAGCTGAAACAAACAAAGGGAAATCAGTGAGGCATTACCAAGCTCAGACCAATATTTCAAACAGCAAAATAAATAAATAAAACCAACTGTGCTTTCTTTGGCCTGGTTTCTTCTATGAGGTGCTTGCAAGCTTTTTAATTTTGGAGGATTTTTGTCACTTTATTTATCTGGGCAAATAAAGATTTTTAAACAAAGATACCATTTTACCCTTTTGGGATGTCGCTGGCCAAAGCTGAAAGGAATTATCTGTCCCAGACACCACTCAGGTGCTGAGATTATAACTGGAGTTTGTCCCCAAAGTGCCATCTGCAGTCAGGCATGGGGAGGCCACCACCTGGGGAGAAGATGGCCTTCTTAATTGTGGGCTCCTGATCAGGGAAATCCCTGGCCAGGGAGGCTTGCCTGGACTTTTTCTGAGGCCTTCAACTTTATTGCTGCTAGTTTTATCTGCTGTCATAATCCTTACACTGTTTTGCTGATGTTTATTGCTTATGGATGCAAGCAACACTGAGAATATTTGTATGGAAGGGTGCCATCCAAACCCAATGCGGTGTAGAGGTTCAGGTGCCAGAATAGGACCTAGGAGACCCGGGTTCAAATCCCCCCACCCTCAGCCATGAAGCTCACTTAGATTCTCAAAGCCCATGAGCACTTGCACAGTGTGATTGCTGAGCCAATGAACCCATGTCCCTGTGTCTGTCAGTATTTACCATATAATCTGAAGTCCGTCAGTGGGGAAAGAGCAGCGCCACAGGAGAAGACAGGGTCTTTATTCTCTTCTCCAGAAAGGAGGATGTAAGAGCTCAAGTAGCCTCCATAATCCTGAGAGGAAAGGGGAAGAAGTAACAAGATGAGGGCTGGAATGTAAAAACCATCCTTCTCAGATGGAGAGAACGCACCACATCACAATGCTGCCCATATTTTAATACCTCAGGAAATGGAAATCCAACAGGGAAAAGTTTCCAAATAAGTGGGAGATGCCCTAAATGGCCTCGGTCCAGTATATCTGAAGGAGCATCTCCACCCCCATCGTTCTGCCCGGACACTGAGGTCCAATGCCTCCTGAGAGTTCTCTCACTGCAAGAAGCCAAGTTACAAGGAACCAGGCAGAAAGCCTTCTCGGTAGTGGCACCCGCCCTGTGGAACACCCTCCCACCAGATGTCAAAGAGAACAACAACTACCAAACTTTTAGAAGACATCTGAAGGCAGCCCTGTTTAGGGAAGCTTTTAATGTTTGATGTATTACTGTATTTTAATATTTGGTTGGAAGCCACCCAGAGTGGCTGGGGAAGCCCAGCCAGATGGGCGGGGTATAAATAATAAATTATTATTATTATTATTATTATTATTATTAAACAAAAGGCTCTTCTGTGGTATGCTCTATGTATTAAAATATGCTGCTTATTCACAGGGTGGGGGGTTGCTTAACCCTGCAGGTGCCATTGGACCACAATGCCTATCATTCCTGACCCTTGGCCATGCTGGCTGGAGCAGATGAGAGTTGGGAGTCCAGCAGTCTCTGGAGGGCCACAGTCATTTTTGTTGTTTGGTTGCTTGGAATTACGCCTAGAGATTTAATGTTTTAGGGATTTATTATTATTATTATTATTATTTTGCATTTTACTGAATATCAGTGTGGCATCCCCTTTGAAATGCACACCAGCAAACCTTATGTAGGTTTGAATCAATTCCACTTACAATTCAACAGGCCTCGGGAGAGAGAGGGAACGAATATTATCCAGGAATTAATGTGTAAAAATAAAGGCGAGAGGGCAAGGGAAAGCAAAGCCTCACAACACAGTATTTTCTCCCAAACACTTGGCATCTTCTTCTTCCAAGGCAGGATTTACAAGAAAACACAGATTGATGACTTGATTAAAAACCCAAGGCTCTCTCTCTCTCAGAATCATCAAGCAACGTGCCGCTGTTAAAAAGACGGCCATAATAAACCGCAGACACGCTCACTCAATCAAGATGCAGATCTAAACTCTTAAGCTGAAGGTGAAGGCTGAAAAGGCACTCACCTTTCCAAACACACCGACTCTTGACTTATCAATGTATGTGTTTTGCAGCATTGTGCTGAAAAAAAAAGAAAGAAAGCAGGACAATTTGATTATCTTAAAGTAAGAGGGTGCCTTGAATATTGCAGCCAGGATGCATTAACAGAAGCACAGGCTGAATTCCAAGTTGATATGCAAAAGCATCAGCTGCCAAAAGGCAGAGGCGATGCTTGCTGTCCTGAGCAGACACCATGTTCTTTTGCAACGCCACCACATTTTAAAAAACAGAATAGTACAAATCATTGAAAAGCAACAGCAGCAATTTCCAGGATGCAGTTACAAACAAAACCAATCCCCCAAAGGATTCTTTCATTCACCAGACAGCCTCCGTCTGGTCCTTTTCCTCGAAAACACCCAACCGCCTCTTCACGTCGTGGAGCAGCTTGGTCCCTTGGAAACCACTTCCACGCCCATCAAACTTCATCACAATGGCGCCATGCGAGCTGACCATGACGCTCTCCCAGTTCACCTCAAACTTTTCCGTCACGCTCTGTGTGCCCGGAGTCCCGTCACTATAAAACAGGAACAAAGCAAGTGGTATCTCGTTACGATGCACAGTGACAATGAATGGTTTAGGGAACAACAGGAAAGGAAGGAACTGCAGCTCAAGGTTTCATCACGTGCTGTAAAAGCAGAAGGCTCCAGCTGCAACCTCTGGGGTCTCCAGTTCATAGAGTCAAGGCAGCAGGCAATGGGAGAGACATCTGCTCAGGAGCCACTGCCAGTCAGAACAGACCAGCCTTTCTCAACCTGGGTCTCCCAGATGTTAGACTACCATTCCCATCATCCGTGAATGGCTAGGGCTGATGGGAGTGGTAGTCCAACAACATCTGGGAAACCAAGGCTGAGAAAGGCTGGAGCTGATCCACTTAGTGCCCTCCATCAGCCCAAGTCAGCGCGGCCAGTGGTCCAGGATTTTGGAAGCTCCAGCCCAAACATCTGGAGGGTAACAGGCTGAGGAAGGATGGAGTAGACACTACTGAGGCAGATGGACAAATAGCCTGATATAGGGGTGGGTGAATCTGTCAATTTCAGGCTCTCATTTTTCCAACCCTAAATTCATTTCTCCAAGTTTTTATATCAGCTTGCAATTATTCTCATTTTTTTTAAGTCCTCATGAAAATTGACCAGCATCTGACCAGGACTGACCAAGAGCATTTCCTCCTCCTAATACACATGTCTATATGCAATTTTGTCAAATATGCACATTTTTGCAGTACAATCTTCTCCCGTATAATGCATTTTCATATACTGCTTTCACTAATACTACATGCGCATTACCCCACAACATGCATTTTTTGTACACATTACTCAGCTGGAGGGACTGCATTTCAGAATTTGGAGAATTGCAAATTTTTGAAGAATTGTTGTGTTTCAGCTCTTGCTCTGTTTTGGAAAGTGCAAATTGGGCAATATTCACCTTTGAACAGAACTTCTCCTCCACTCCTGGTGGTCTGACCTGCTTCCATTGCTCCTTCCTAAGTGCAAGTGAATGCAAAATCCCAATTTCTCACATTTATGGCTAACAGCTGAAACAGTGGATTGCACATTCATAAAATGTGCATGCGCTCCCCTTACCTGGAGCTCATGAATCTCCTTGTACAAGGCCAGCAGCACGTTTTTGTGGGCCAGCAGGCAGCAAGGTGTCTCCTTTCACACATACTGTGCTCCTCCATCCTGCCTCCCCCACCCCCAAATACAAGTCCGGTCCAGGTTTCATTCTGCTGGGAAATGTGGGAGATTGCCCCAGAGGCCCCGTAATGACAGCTGCATCTTTTATGCATTTTATGCTGCTTTCAGACACCCCTACTATGGGAAATCAGTAGGTGACATCAGCATCGGCTGGATAGCTTGGTTGGTTAGCGCATGGTGCTGATGATGCCAAGGTTGCAGGTTCAATCCCTGCATCGGACAGCTGCATATTCCAGCATTGCAGGAGGTTGGATGAAATGATCCTCAGGGTCCCTTCTCCAGGCCAACTCTATGATCTTCCAACTCTATGATCTGCCAGGTCATGGGCCTCAATGGATACCCAAGCATGTTGCTGACTAGTCCTGGAACTACCACTCTGGCTGAGATGCAAAAGCCCCTCCTCCAGAGCTGACACACAAGCACAGGAAGTCAGAGACTTCCTGTTGCCCTACTTGTTTAATGGCTGAAAGTAACAGAGCTTATTTTTTCTTTCTTTTTCAGGGTCGCAGCCAAACAGGTAAGTTAACAGCAACGTGAAGTGTGATATATCACAATGCGTTTCTTTGCCAAGCCAAGATGTCAGATTTTATTTTCTTCAGGCAACAGCACATTTAACTTCCAGCATATCCGCTTCAGATTTCAAAAGGCAGTGATGGGTCTTTGGCAAAGCAGTGTGAACGTAGCAGCAATTTCATTTCATCTTAAAATAAATTATTTTCATCTCACCTTTCACCCCGAGACAAAAAAGGTCCTCAACTAAGTGTGTAACTGCCAGTTACAACAGCTCCTCAAGCAATTTCATCACTAATAATTTTTTTTATTAAAAATTAAAAAATTAAAATTCTATCTACATTCGGCCAGCCCAGCATGTTCTCACAGTCCACTAACTGCAATTTCCTCCCCCCCAAAAAACCCTTGCAAAAACCAAAAAAATTAGGCCCCCCTTCTGAAAATGCCCAAGTTGTTAGCTTTGTAGACATGCTGGGGGAAAGAATTTGATGGGGATGGTGCCACACTATAAGAGGAAGAACATCAGTCTAACCCCCAGTGGAGGAAGCACCCAGAACAGAATCTGAAAATGTATTAGGGTGCAGGCCCCCTCTTGAAATTTCCTGGGCTCAGTCTAGCTAGGGCAGGAACAGCAAACCTGTTGTGTTGTTGAATTACAACTCCCTTCACCATCCTTGACCACTCGCCACGATGGCTAGGACTGTTGGGAGTTAATTAAGAGGGCTGCCAGTTCCCTGAGCCTAATTTAGGGCTTTGAAAGTTAAATTAGCACAATGAATTGAGCTCAGAAGCTCAGTTGGTAGAACACGAGACTCCTAATCTCAGGGTTATGGGTTTGAGCCCCACACTGGGCAAATGATTCCTGCATTGCAGAGGACTGGGCCCTTTCAACTCTATGGTGCTATGTATCTCACATGCATCTACCACCAAGAAAATCTTGCAGGAAAGGATGGAGATGTTTGCTGGATTAGTTTGCTGGATTAGGCAGCACTTAGTGATACAGGAAAATTCTTTTCAGGTTGGTTGGATCCTGTGTGTGGGTTTCTCCCCCCCTCCCCAATCTCCCGTGCGTACAGCTTTCCTGATTTGCATTTATTCAACACACAGCCCAGCAGTGCATCCTCATTCTGAGGCAGTCTAATCAAGTGTCGTTAGCTTGATGAGTACCAATCTTCCTCAAGCACTTGTATAATGAAGCACATTTCCCCAGAGATAATTTTTGACGTGGTACGGCAGGCTTCATGACAGAGCTTTTGTCCTCCCTTCAAGCCAGCTTCGGGGTGACATTTTGGAACACACGGGCAATGTCATGCCCTCTTTTCGCTTGCAAAGGAAAAAATAATTGTTTGACTGTATTTATTTACTTTTCATCCTGCCAGCTCCACAATGGCTCAAGGTCACATCCCAGGAAGGATTATGTGAGACCAGCCAGCAAAGTGTTCAGACTCTGATCAGGCCCGTATATGCGGGAGAATTAGGCTGTCATAGAATGAAGTGTGCTACTCATTTGTTGATGACTGGCCCACTTTTGACTGCTCCTTCACATTCGTAACAACACCTCCCTACAAATGGAAAGCGAGCACTGAAAAGGCAGCCCCCAGCTGCTCTGGTTTTCTATTTGCTGGGAAGTTTTTAACATTGGTGAGCATTTAATAATGTGACTCTTCACCCCAACTTTATATTCTGCTTGTGCCTAAGTTCTGATGCATGGGAACATCATGGTTTTGTGCCACTGCTGTTTTTAATTAGCAAATATTTCTCAAGACCCAGCCAGCACGAGCAGACTCTGCCCTGCCAATGAGGCAGCTGCTTCATGTGGTGAATTGATTTTTAAGGCCAGTAAGAGAGAGATACATCTTGTCTATAGTAAATGAATGGGAGTTGGATAAGAGCAACGGCGTTTGGTTGGAAAATTCCCACTGGATTGTGTTGTATATCTGCGGTGATGCTTTTTGGAGAATATATATTTTTGGCTTAATTTAACCATATGCAATGGATATTAATAGGACCTCTCTTTCTTAACTATGCACAAGAGGGTAATTGACTCAGAAGATCCAGTAAACTTCTGCATCTGCCACTGTCTGCCCTGACTCATGTAGGGAGGGACCACAGTGCACTGACAGGAAGGGGTGGAGGGGAAATTCTATCCAGTTTGCATTGAAAGGCAAACTGTCCAAATCCTTGCTTTCGGAAAGAAGCAAACTGAAAAGCAGCCACCCTTCAAACTCCCAACTTTTCAGAATTTTGCAAATGCAGTCTTCCAGCCAAGCAATGTGCAGAAAAATGCACCCACTAGGCCAAAGCATGCAGATATAAATGTATATTTTAGGGGAAACAACATTCTAAAATGTATTGTGTTGGCTGAAATGGCTTGCAAAAATGTGAACATTTCTCAAAACTGCATGAGTTTATTACAATAAATTTGTACTGAAATGCTGAAGAAATTTCATGAGGGTTTCTTTTTATCTTTCTTTTAATTGCAGAAATGTGGAGGAGGGAATTGAGGACTGGAAAAACGAGAAACTGGGAGAACCGGAAATTGACACATTTGTCCACTCCTTGTGGCAGAGCACATACTTTTCATGCAGAAGGTCCCAGGTTCAGTTGCTGGCATCTCTAGCTTGAAGGATCAGCCAGCAGGCAATGGGGGAAAAAAGAGTCCTCCTCTCTGCCTGGGAGCCTGGAGAGCTATGGCTGGTCAGAGTAGACAATACTGGGCCAGATGGGGAAACTGTCTGGAAGGCAGGAAGATGGAGTAGTTGCCCTATGCTGAGTCAGGCCATTGGTGCCCCCAGTGTCTGGCTGGCAGGGCAGAGCACAGAGACGCCCACGGGAGGCGGAACAGGAGCCAATGGCAGGCAGAGTCAACTAACTCTTCTTTTGTCTTGCTCCCTGCTGCGTTCTATAAGGGTAACACTGAGATAAGGATGGGGAGGAAGCTGACCGGCAGTGCCACCCTCTGGACTGGCTGCCAGTAGGCAGATAGGAGCTCGTTGAAAACAGAGGTTGGTAGGCAGTGCCCCCTTCATGCTAATGGGACAGACTCCAATCTAGCTCAGCATTGCCTACATTGCGACTGGAAGAGGCTCTCCAGGGATTCAGGCAGATCTCAGCTCTACCTGCAATTGAAGCTGGGACCTGTTCGGCATGCGGAACAGATGCTCTGGCCCTGATCCAGTATGGCAGTTTCCTGTTTGCTGCAATGGCCCCTTGCTCCTCGCATGCTCTATTCCGTCCTCAGCTACTCGGCTTTTGCCTGGCTTTGCCACGCACTGCTCTACCCTCTAACCTCGTATGTCCAAAATCCCATGTTTCTCCTAGCAACAAGCAACGCGCAGCCTGGGTTGGGTGCCTAGATGTCCTCTGAAAACAATACGATTCATAATGTTACTCACACAACAAGAAGCAAGGGGTAGTGCATGTTTTCGGTGAAGACGGCCGGCTTTGAAATCTGCATCGGCAATTCTAGATAAGAGACATAAGTAAGCACTTAAGTTTGAGGAGGTTGTCATTATGCTGAATGATATTTTTCTTTTGCTGGTAACACAGCGGCGCTTCTCAGTGGGAACAAAACGGCGTTCCATAGACTAGCTTGGCAAATAACACCTTAACAGAATATCTACACCTTCAAAGACGAAACCTGCCCAGCATTATCGAAGATGACAAGGAATCTGGAGCCAAGGCGCTTGGTCATGCACCAAACATGCAATTAGTGGCCACTGATATGTATTATTTTCCCCTGTAGGCAGGTGGACGAGCTGCAGAACAGCAAGGCAATATTTTGGAAGCACTAGGGGAGGGAGAGAGAGATACTACGTGAAATGAAAATATCCCACAGCGAGGAGGAGAAGACTGCTTTCCTCTTTTCCTGCTTTCAGGGTTTTTGAAGACAAAGGGTTCTTCTTGTGCATTTTAAACTCCAGGGGTTTGATTGCAACTTGCCCTGGTAGAATAAAACGAAGCAGAAAAGACTTAATTGGATGAACTAAATTAAGAAGAAGCATTTGCAGGAACAGCACACTGGTTGAAGGAATGTGTCTTAGAAGAACAAATTGTGCTTCACATTTTTTACCCCCTTGGGTGCATATTGGTGCAGGCATAAAGAGGCTGCTGCAGGAGATTCTTCCTGCCTTGGTTTATTTTCAAAATAAACTACAGTGCGCATGAACAATGGCCTGGCAATCAGTAGCCAGATTAGCCAATAGGTTTAAGCGGTTTGCTTTGCAATCTTCTCATGACACTCTTGCCTAATTAATTTATTCCATCAGACTTGCTAATAGATAGCTGATTTGTATCATTAGCCGCAGGACAGCCAACAACTCGTGGCTTTAAATATATTTAAACCAAGGCAGAGATAATTCAGCATGTAAGACTGGTTTTGAACATATAGCTAGGTCCCGAGGAAACAGTTGTGCAATTACTGTCAGTATATGTTTATGGCTCTGTCCATCAGCACATACCTATTCCAAGGCTCAGAGCAGATGATACATTTATATGTCTAATCACATTTAATGTGTCAAGTTTTTTGTTGTTGTTTTTTTGCATCCTATTGCAGTTGCTGCAAAAACCATCCTTCCTGAAGAAATTACTGTTGCTTCAGGCATAAAGCATTATTCCTGGGCCAAATAGAAGCTTCAGGGGAGCCACCTTTGTCAAGTCCATGCTGGGGGGCAGGTAAGGGTTAACCCCCTTCCTCCCCACAGAACATGCTCTTAAATCTGATAGAGCCTCCATGGGTTTATTTTTTAATTTTGGGGGGGGGATTTCAATTAAAGAGCAGAGACAAAAATACATAAGACATAAAGAAAAGAAAAACCTTACTGTAATCATGAATCTTGATTTCTGTGTATTCCACTTTGGGCATCTGTCTTTCTGCTACTGCCTTCTGCACCTTTTCATTTACCTCTAGGTCAAAGAGTTCTGGAAGAACAGGGAGAAAAAAATAATCCAAGATGTCATACAATGCATTTGTTAATTCTATACTGACAAAGAGCAGCCAATATATTTTTTCCCCATTATGCAAAACTGGAGGGCGGGAGAAGTGGAGAAACAGAAGCGCAGAATTTGCAAAATGGGCAATAACTAGTTGGAATATGATGGCCATTGGGAAGCTGACAGCGTAGGTGTGAGTTATGAGAGAAGTTCCTGGTATAGCTCAGTTGGCAGGAGACCCCTAATCTCAAGGTTGTAGGTCTGAGCCCCACTCAATGATCCCTGCATTGGTCCCGTCCAACTCTAGTATTCTGTGATTTTGTAATCTCTGAACTTTTATTTTAGCACAAAGCAAAAGTCTGCTGAGTCTGCAGAAGACTGTCCTCTTCAAATAAGCCTTCTAAGAAGAGAATTTTTTTTTAAAAAAACATCCCAGTCGATACCTGTATTAGATTCGAAATAGTTTTTATACATGTAATCGTTTTAACTATTTTTACACACGTAATGGTTTTTATTGTTATTGTGCAATTGTTTTATATCTGCTTTTATGGCATTGTGGAATTTCTTCAAGGTGCTTCATAGGAAGTGATCTATAAATGAATGAATAACCACCATTCTGAAGCTTCAGCCCAACATTGCCCATTCAGAAAACCAACCAACTTATACTGATCTGCTGTTCGACGTTTATTATCATCTTAATTATGTTCAGGAGTGTTTCTCCTGCTACCATTGATCAATACTGGCTGCTCCAGGTTTTAGCTGCCACTAACTGCAGGTTTTCATTGCAACTTTACTGTGTGGTGCTGTTTCTTTTTCAATTCCTTCAATCGATCAATAGATAACTCAAGAGAGAGGGAGGCAGGGAGTCGTTAAATCCAGCCCTCCTCACCCCTTTCCTTAGCAGCTGATCAGCACTACCGAT